CTTCCCCTACTGGAGCCAATAGCAGGTGCAACCCCACCCCGTGCTTAGGGATAACTGTGTCCTTAGTCACTCTTCATGTGACTCAACATCAAGTCATCACCTCTTAAAGAACTACTGTCACCACCTGGAAACTGGGTGACAACCTTATTCCCCATGTATTCACTCAACAAATAGTCAGCTGACAGAGTCCAACAGGAGGGTCTTTCCTTGAGAACACCCCAGCAATAAACCAAAGGGACATATGGTTCTTAGGAACAGGCCTTCCATTTGTATTCAAGTGATTCAGATCTACTACCCAAGTATCTACCTTGCTGACACACAAGATGGTCCACCTTGTCAGAGAGAAAATCCTAGACATGTTCTTTGAGAAAGAAGGTCCTCTGACACCCAACTTAGCCCTCATCTCTCTGCCAACTCAGGGATGCTGGATGTCCGCATACTCCCAGACTCTGGACCTGTCTCTGTTGGACCATCAGCATGACATTGACCTTCATATGCCTTACCCATTCTCCCGATGTTAGCTCCCAGCCCCAGGTCCTCTGGGACAAGGCATGTCTTTCTACTTTCTAGTGACAAACTCAAATTCACTCCTCAGTTGTATGTAAGCTTGTGTGGGTGGCACTAATGGAATCTGGGAATTCTGCCTTGAGTCATTCGCCATGTATGACTGTAGGGGTTTCCTTGTTCTGTGAAACATACAGAGATGCCTGGAGAATGTTCTTCCTTTGGAAAATCCATTTTCCTTGATCCGTGAGCTCCACGTGCCTCTTCCCTTGGGAAATAAGTCCTTTTCTGAAATGTCCTTTTGGACATTGTGTTAACTAGATTGAAGAGTGTTAAACAAAAGTGTTAGAAGCGCTTCACTACCTAAAGATGTCTACACACAAAGGTGAACAGGAGAGAGGGTAGTCCTGAGTATTTCTGTGGTATTTTCAGATGATGTGGAAATACACACCTTGACCCTTGAAAGCAAATATATCAAAAATGATACATTCCCCAGGGCTTTTCCGGGTTGGTGTTCAAACCAGGAACTGTACAGTCTTTGGCCAAGGTGTGGTTTTATTGACAGAAAGAATGCACACAGTCATGTCTAACATAAGAATGCTTCTGTATCAGGTGAAAAATGTGTGTTCTGACATAGCCAAATGCATTACAATTTATTTTACAGTTGATTTTATTCTCTCCGTTTGTATGTGTATATGCATGGTTGAATGAATCACATATGTAGGTGGGCCTTATGCCATAGCACGGAGGTCAGGGAACAAATTATGGAGCTGGCTTTCTTTCTCCTCCCACCTTTATATAGGTTTTTGGGATTGAAACGAAGCTGTCCAGCTTTGTGGCAAACACCTTTACCCATGGAACCGCCTTGCTGGCCATTGGTTTAATTTCTTTGGAATCTGATAAATACTGGTTAGGAGCGCAAACTTCAGAGACAATGGAATCTCCATTGTTGGGTTAGATCTGTGACCCAGAGTGAGAGTTATTTTGACTGTAAAATGGGATGATCACCCCAACATATAAATTCCACACATTATATAAGAGACAGTGAAACACTGAGTTCAGTACTGAGCACACTGTGTGCATAAGGCGTATGGAATACACGGATAGGGAGCGCAGAGCAGAGAGGACCACACAGACTTGCTGTATGGTTAACAATGACTTCCACACAGGCACTTCTTCCTGGGTTCGGATGTGTCCTTTATGCTGGCAGGACAGCCATAGCCTGTTTAACTCAACAACAAGGATGCCCACAGATACCCTTCCACGAACCTATATCAAAGATGAGGAGGACGTAATTGAGTTTGGCACAAGAAGAAAAGCGTCCAAATGATAAAGCCAGTTATGAGTCACAGCCATGGGAATTTGACATTGTTGAAAGACTGAGTTATCTTACCGGGTTAGTCACCTATTCCAGGATATGGCAAGTGTGCATTTGTCAGACGCTGTATATCTGACTGCATGTTACATGTTACACTAAGGCATAAACTGTATATTATCTGGCTTTAATCTTTGTACGAGCTCCTTAAGGTAGTGTCTTAGTGAGGGTTTCTATTGCTGTGATAAACACCGTGACCAAAAGCAATATGGGGGGGGGCGTCTGTTTAGCTTACATGTCTATAGCACAGTACATAATTGAGGGAAGTCAGGGCAGGAACTCGAAGCAGGAACCTGGAACCAGGAACTGAAGCAGAGACCATGGAGGAATGCTGCTTACTGGCTTCCTTTCCACAGCTTGCTCAGCCTGCTTTCATATATGACCAGGGACCAATAGTCTGGTGGTGGCCCCGCCCACTGTGGGCTGGCTCTCCCACATCAGTCATTCATCAAGAAAATGCCCTACAGATTTGCCTATAGGCTAATCTGATGGAGGTATTTTCTCAGTTGAAGTTCTTGTTCTTCAACAACTCTAGCTTAGGTCAAGTTGACAAAAACAAACAAATATTCCAAACAGGACAGGTAGGTACTACCTTTATCCTCTTTGTGTTATCTCCTGCCTTATATAGAAAGCTCAAAATGCTACAGAGACACAGAAATAATTAAATGGAAAGACGTAGCTTAGTCTTCAATAAATAGAGTCGATATCATAAATATGTATATAGTTTTCCTGATTTAACATATAGGTTTGTAGACTCCCTTCAAAATAAACTAATTGGTTTTGTTGATGGAAAAGGAACTAAATAAATAGATCATAAAGTTCATGTGAAAAAAGTAAAACAGTAACAGTCAGGAGAATTCTAGACTAAAAACAAACAAGTAGCTGGAGAGCTGACCCAGAGGCAAAAGTGCTTCCTGCTCAAGCATAAGGTCCAGCGTTGGATCTCCAGAGCCCGTGTAAGTGCTGGATGGGTATCGTGGCGCAATTCCATCCTAAAAGCTAGAGACAAGGGGTCCCAGAAGCAAGCTCGCCAGCCAGACTATCGGGATCAGCAAGCTATGAGTTCACCTGAAAGACCCTGTCTCAGTGAAGGAGGTGGATGAACTGTAAGACTCTCAACACCAGCCTCAGGCCTCCAAACGCATGCACATATGTGCACATGTACCCACATACGTGCAAACATGCATGCACACACACCTCACATGTGAGAAAAAAACTAAAAGTAATATTTCATTGGATGTCATCACATGCCATACCATTCTGATTATAAAAACAACTTATTTGCATAGGAACAGATAAAACATCAGTAGCACAGACCAGAAATTCCTGCAGTGAATTAAAATGCACAGACAAAATTAGTACACAGTGAACTCAATTGGAGATTGACTCAATCATCCGTAAATGGTATTGGATAAACATAGCATGGCTACGTCTCTACCTCAAGGACTAAAAGACAGTAAGGTTCAGATGAACGAAATATTTTTTGTGAAAAAGACAGTCATAAAATGTTGTGGGGACAATTGTAGGAGAGAACTTTCTGCACATGATACAAACCCAGAAGACACAGACCATTGGTTTTTTTTAAAAGCTCTGCTTGGAAAGCCACCCCATATGCAAAGGTAAAAGACTAAATTTACATAGTCTATAAATATGCTTATATATTTGCAGTTTATAACTCGGAATGAGAACTAATTTCCCTATACAAAATGGCGCACACACTTTAACAAAAAGAAACCAGTGCTCAACACAAAGGTCTTGTGGTTAGAGAAAAAGAAGATAAAAGTGGCCCTGGGGCCTGGGGTGGACATGGAAGGACAGAGAAGGGATTGTGACTGGGGTGCAGGATGTGGAACTCCCGGGGAATCAATGGGAGTGTTATGTGAGAAAAAGAAAAAAAAAATATGGCCCTTTAAACACAAAAGCCTGTTCAACCTATGACGTGGAAGATTTCTTTTTTCATTTGTGGAAATGGCTCTCTGGCACTGCTGGTCAAAAAGAGACAACCACAAATGGGCAGAAAGTGAACAGCTCTTCAGCCTCCTCCCTTCCACATAGAAAAAAAAAATTTGGCCCTGCAATTCCATGTATAAAAATAGGTCTTATAGAGACATTCATATATGTGAAATCACCCACCCACACTGCGGAGTTGACTTCCGGAGCAAAAGATTGGGAGTCCACGAGCAGTTAAATGATGCCAGAGCTGCGTACATATGTGTATATGTATATGTACATGTATATGCATCGTGGAATATAGCAGCCTTCTGCTCCTTGGAAAGCATTTTGTACCCTGAAGAAAGCCAGGTACTTGCCGCAAAATCTTTTCTGTCCCGAAGGAAACAGCAGTCAGCACACAGGAGCTTATCAGTCCTAGAAGGGCTCTGGTAACATGACGGTCCCATTCACGTTCACAGAAGGAAATGGATGCAGAGTTCTTATCTAATTAAAACAGCTTGGGGAAAGAAAGTGGGCAAAGGGTAATTACAGGACCTAACTTGGCATTTGGCCCAGAAAAGCCAGGTTAGTTCAGTATTTCTTTTATGGCCAAAAAAAAAAAAAAAAAAAAAAAAAAAACCACCTGCCAGGAAACATCAAATTACAGTAGTTGCTTCAGAGTGGTAGGAAAATTTTCGCCCCTAAATCCCATGTAGTTAACACATATAAATTTTGTGGCACTTGGCGTGTGTCCTAGAAAAGCAATCATTCATTCTTTGTCGTCGCTAATATTGAGATGAAGATTCCGAGGAATTTGCACTATCAACACTAAGCTCTTGGTCCAGCCCCCTCCTCTAGTGTTTGTCAAGTAGAAGGGAAAGAGCCTTGCTTAGCAGAGGCCTACCGACTGGTGTTTCCTAGAGATTCTCTAGGGGTGCTTTGGTTTGTTCTTATCTGATTCAGACTTGCTGTGCTGCAGCTCAAGGCCAGGGGACCTGGGCTCGCGTCTGACCTCTGAATCTGCTAGTCTTCCCCTGCATACCAATTCACTCCACAGAAGACAGTCCGTTCTCTGAGGAGGAAACTCGCCCCGGACATTAGCTTAAATCAGATCAGTTCTTACCAGGAATTACAGTGTATAAGGCAGATGGAAACAAAGCCAGTTTGCTGGGGCGGGGAGACTCCTTACCATCCCGCGCTGACTTGTGATGACCTTGGTTCCATCTCCAAGGAAGGAAGGATGCTCAGGAAGGCTGTAGTTTGAAGAGCTCTATCTTGACTCTGTCTAAGATTTCAAATTCAATAGCACATATTTGGGAAAAAACAAAACAAAACAAATAAATATATAAAGAAATCTTGAACTCCCCTGTACAAGAAAAGCAAGATCTCTTCCTCTTTAATATGGAAAACAACCATGAAGGGCCTCCATCTTTTAATTTGAATAATTATAAATAAACCCCGGGGAGTGGTTGGGAGAAGCCTTGTCCTGTGAATAAGGTGAAGAGATAATAAGCAACATTTATTTAATAGACCTTGCTATGTGCCAGGTACTGCCTGAGCACCTCACATGTATTCATGGCATTTAATCTTCTCTAGAGCTGTTATTATTCCACTTCTCAAGTCAGAGCCAATGTGGAGAAGCCAATAATGTGACCACGGTTGGTGGACTTGGTGTGTAACCGAGTCCCACCTTGAATCCTGCAGTCCGATGCAACCCCAGGACCCAGATGTTCTGTTTCCGGTGTTTACCAGCAGGATATTGATTGACAGCAAACCCCCTGATGCAGCTGCAGAATAATTTTGAACTTAGAATGGCTCTAACTAAAAAACCAGGTTTTTTCTTTCTTTCTTTCTTTCCTTCCTTCCTTCCTTCCTTCCTTCCTTCCTTCCTTCCTTCCTTTCTCTCCTTCCCTCCCTCCCTTCCTCCGTCCCTCCCTTCCTTCCTTCCTTCCTTTCTTCTATTTACTTACTTATGTTTGGCTACCATGTAACTCAGATTGGCCTTCAACTTTCTGACCTAAAGCTCTTGATCCTTTGCCCCTACCTGGAAAGAGCTGGGATTCCCAGCATGCATCACCAGAGGTAAATCTTTCAGTTTGTAAATGAGCAAAGATGAAGCCAATTTAGGAAGGGAAAAAGAATCTTTTAGCGAGTCAGAAAATTCCACCTTTTACACTGATTTCTAAAAATGATTCCTGAGTGAATTTACAACCTAAATATTTCATTGCTTTTTTTTTAAAAAAAATTAAAACAAGAACCAACTTGGGCAAATTCAAGCTTTCCAGCTATGTTACCTGGTTCAGGAGATTGTTTCTATGTCTGCAGGGCTGATTTCATGCCCATCATCTGGGTTAGTTCTAGGAAGGCACCATAAAAGCCAGCAGACTCAGGTCCTGGACCATTGTTCAGTTATCGTAAAGACAACACCATATCTAGGAAGTAAGACAGAATGGGCTGAACATTTTCAAGTGATTCAAATTATAGGACCAAGCATTTTTTCAGTCACCTAAGAACTACAATAATTTTCCTGATATTCAAAGCTAGAAATGTATGTATCAAGTACTTCTATTAGAGTTTGTGTTTTCAGTCTCAAATCTCACAGCTGTTCAAGTCTGGATGTTTGATATCAAGGCCACCTACTTAACATCAAGGCCAGCTCACAATCCGGCATAACCAGAGATGCTGAGAGCTGATCACAAAACCTTTAAGAATTTAGACATCTCTCCTCAGAAATCCATTTCACAGAGGAAATGTAACAAGTTGAAGATTTTTTTTAAAAAAATAATTGTTGATGTTGATTTAAGTTGGAGGTATTCCTATAAGATATCAAAAAGTCACTTTTGTAGAGGCATTTCATTTGTATTTTAATAAATAAAACCTGAAGATCAAAGAGTAAAACAGCCCCACTGGTCAGCCTTACAGACCAGGCTGTGGTGACACACACCTTTAATACCAGTAGCCACACTAGTTTGCCATAGAAACTGGGTGGTTCATGCCTAATCCCAGTGGTTTAAGCATGGCTCAACCCTAGAAAGGGATATAAGACAGGAGGAGACAGCTCTCAATCACATTCTGAGATTCCCGGATGCAGGACTGGCATTTCAGACTGAGGTAGAGTACAGTAGCTGGCTGTTTTGTTTTTCTGATTTTCAGGTTGAATTCCAGTTTCTGCCTGAGTTTTTATTATTCATCCTACATACTTTTCTCCTCCAAGTAGATATAATTTTATCCTAAAAATAAATAAAGCATCATGCTTACCTAGCTGTATTCTCTAGAGAGCTGTACCGCTAAAAACACATTCCTTAGATTTATTTCCAGCAGGGAAATCTCAGCCCCACCTCATCACCCGAGCTTCCCATGAAGTCTACTAGAGATATACCAACTTCAAAGCCCTCTTCTAGGATTCTAAGAAAAACTAGAAATTAAGAAAAACCCTAATTCTTAAAACTTTAAGAGAGCAGGAAGGGAAATAAGCCTTTTTGTACTGTAAACAAGGTATTAATAGTTTCGATGTCATTTATTAATGAATAAAAATTAAAATACAGTTTGAAACTTCCAAACATTTTCATGGGGGAAACAGCCAATCTGTGTTAGTCAGTTGTCCACAGGTAACAAAATTGACTTAAAAGGTTTGGGATCCTGATGTCACTGTATTGTCACTTGGCTCCCCCCACTCTTGGGCCGATGGCAGTGTGGTGTTAGGTGTCTCACAGAATGAATCTGTTCACGTCACAGTAGCTGGGAAGTGAGAGAAGATGCCTGCTGCAGGCAGAGTTTCTCTGTGCCCTGGCAATCAGCTCTGTCCCACTAGCCAGCTCCCAAATAACCACGAAGAGACTTACTGTTCATTATAGATGTTCGGCCAATGCTTAGGCTTGTTACTAATTAGCTCTTAGAACTTAAATTAACCCATCTCTATTAATCCACTCATTGCCACATGGTTCTTGGATTTACCTGTCCTCCAGCATGTCTTGCTCCCTCTGTGTCTCCTGAGTAACATGACTCTGCCCTTTTTCTTCCCAGTGTTCTCTCTGCTCTGAAATCCTGCCTAGCTATTGGTCCGTAAGTTCTTTATGAACAATGAGAGCAACATGTTCCTTGTGACATTCGTTCCTCTCACTAGCCCTTACCTCTGACGGGCTCTTCCTCAGCTACAGGCTGGGGACCATGCCTTCAACTCTTAGGTCTTGGCCGGCATCTATTCAAGCTATCCATAATGCCCACTAAGCAGGAACAAACAAATATGTTCAACACATTCTGCATAGACTTGATACAACTCTGTCTTACTGGTATTTATTATTTCAGTCAAGAAAGGAGGAAATGACTGATCAGGGTCATTGCAGGAACATGCCATCCTATTTCCAGCTGGACTTTTTTCTTTTTAGATGATTTAACGTTCACTCAGAAACACTTAATAGCAGGTTTGGGAACATAACATTTAAAAGCAGCACATCTTGTTTTCTGGTCTTGTCTTTGTTCTCTACCTTGTGTACAACGATAAATCATTTTAACAGATTAGCCCAGCACTTAGGTTCTGTAAACTCCATTGACTGTTTATGCTCATGAAATACCATATATGCTGAGTTTTATAACACTATTTTTTTTAAGTACTGGGCATGGAGCTTAGGGTGGGGCTAGCAAAGAGCTCCATTACCAAGCTTCATCCCCAGCCAGCAACTTGCTCATTTTAACCTTTAACGATTCCTAAGATAATTACTGATTTACAAATCCTTGTAAGAAGATCCAAGTGTCAAGGACTGGAAAAGGAAACAGTTATTGCCTGTATAAATACAGATTTGGAAATATACACAGAAGAGCTATTCCCTCAGGCGGGCAGGATGACTCAGTTGGTAAAGGCACTTGCTATCAAGCCTTGATTCTAGAGAGAGAACTGGATTCTAGAGGTTGTTCTCTGACCTCCACACAGGGGCTAGTGACAGAGGTGTACCACTCCCACCTATACAACCACTGTAACCAATGAACGTAATCTTAAAGATTAAAAGGAAAACTGCCTCTTCAGTCACTCAATGATTTTATTCATCTAACAAAATCTTACTTATTCGAGAACCCAATATCTATTAGACATACTGCTGGGCTCAGCAGATACATACTGAACAATGCTAGGTAGGAGTCCTGCACTCAATTCTGATGGGGAAAGGCAGATAATCATTAGTTTTCCAGAAAAAAAAAGAAATAATTAATAAATAACATTGGAGTATAATAAATAGTGCAAAGAAAATAACAAGAAGGAAGGGAGTGCATTATTTAGGAAGCTTCCCTAAAGAGACTTGAAAGCCAAGCCACTGGAAAGGCAATCTCTGCAGAGAAAAGACCTCTCTTCCATCATTTATGGTTAAACAAGAACCACGAGCCTTTTAAGTACTTATACAGAGGCAAAGCTACTTAATGAATGGTCAATCAACTTCGCATATATCACCATGAAAGTGTAAAGCGCTGTGTCTGCTCTACATGCTACTATAAAGTCCACAAGCCTTGGGCACTAGGCTGGAGATTTAAAAACATCCGCACACAGACAGATACATAGGGACAAGGGTCAGCCTTGAAACAGGAATGCCAACTTTACTGTGCTCCAGGGAAGCTTATATAAGGATCCTTAACTGATAGCCATGCCCCAGCTCTTGGGATTTCCAACTGTAAAACCCACCAGAATTCATTCCCCTGCCATCAAGAACTCATGAGGGTCTTGTGCTCAGAGCAGCTGCAGGCACAGGAAAACAAGTTGTTTTGTCCAGATCACTCCAGCAGACAAAGGGTCTGAGCCAGGTCAAAAAAGTCAAGGGGCCAGGGGTCTGCAGCCCCCAACAGCTCTCTCTTTTCTATATAATTAGACCAGGCCTGTCTTGGGTTGAAGAAGCACATATTCACATCTTACCCAAAAGGACACTTGCCTCAGCATGCAAGGCCTCTGTCTTAGGTAGTTGACAGGCTCCTGTATTACCTGTCTCTGGCTCACTGGTCTTTCCATAGCCTGCTAACCCCTACTGTGCTCAGAGGAAGCCCACTCTCTTGGGAAAATAGCTGCTGCTGCTGCTGCTGCTACTGCTGCTGCTGCTGCTGATGATGATGATGACGCCTGTTGTAGAGGCAGAGCAACAGAAACCCTCCAGCTACACAAGCTTCTAAGGGCAGCTGATCAGCAAGCTTAGGCTGTATGGCAGTGGCTGGACTGGCATGGGCGTGGCACAAACATAATGAAAGGAAAGGGAGCAGCCAACCATCTACTCCAACTGCTCTTATAAAAAGTCAAACCAAAAAAATACCCTGCAGAAAATTATATAGGGAATTCTAGATCTCTAAGGCAGTGGCAACCTGTCTGGCTAGGGTATCAACAGTGCTAGCTAAGCAGTCGTCAGACTGGTGACAATTCCAGTTGTCTCAGAGGCCGCAGTGGTGACAATAGCAACCACCACAACTGTCGTGATCCCAAAGTCTTAGCCAGGACAGCTCCATCAACCCAGGCACCAACTGGACTAGGGCGATGTGCTGCTGGCACCACACTGCAAGGTCAGGGACTGCTGCCTCCTCGCCCAGCCTCTGCCTTCTCGGCCTCTCTGTGAGCACTCACAACAGTCAAGTACTCACAGCAAGGACTCCAGGAAGCAGGCTAGCACCCAGGAATCACAAAAGGGGCCAAAGTTCCCTGCCTGCATGTAGTAAGGAGGCCTGTTTGTTTGCCAGCTGTCTGGCAGCTTAGACCCAAAAATAATCACACAGAAACTATATTATTTAAAACACTGCTTGGCCGGGCGGTGGTGGCGCACGCCTTTAATCCCAGCACTCGGGAGGCAGAGGCAGGCGGATCCCTGTAAGTTCGAGACCAGCCTGGTCTACAAGAGCTAGTTCCAGGATAGGCTCCAAAACCACAGCGAAACCCTGTCTCGAAAAACCAAAAAAAAAAAAAAAAAAAAAAAAAAACACACTGCTTGGTCTATTAGCTCTAGCTTCTCATTTCCTAACACTTAACATCTTAATTTAACCCATCTCCATTAATCTGTGCATCATCAGGAGGTTGTGGCCTACCAAAGTTTTAGTACATCTGTCTCTGATGGTGACTCCATGGCTTCTCTCTGACTCCACCTTTTTTCTCCCAGCATTCAGTTTAGTTTTCCCCACCTAGCTCTGTTCCTCTATAGCTCTGCTATAAGCCCAAAGCAATTCCTTTATTAACCAATGATATTCACAGCATACAGAGGGGAATCCCACATCACCTCCCCTTTTCCATTTAAATAACAAAGAAGGCTTTATCTTTAACATAGTAAAATATTACATATCTTTTATCATAACTAAGGAAAACAATAACTATAATTATAAATTCTTCAACTCCATCAGACTCCAGAAGGATATAATAGTACCTAAGTAAACAGGAAGTATATTGTAAGCAATTTCCAAAACCTCTAGACATGACAGAGATATCACCCAAAGTTCTTCTGTACCATTGGGGTATCCATCTTCAGCCTACAGGCCCATAGTCTCTGGAAGACTTTTCAATGAAACATGAAATTTCAAAGACAGTTCCATCAGGATTAGCAGTTTGTCAGTCATTTTCTTCTGTGTCCTGCACCCATAAGTCTCAGCTATTCCAAAAAGTCATGGGATCAAACATAGATGTTGACAGCAATGAAGAAAAAGAATGTAGCAACACCAATACATATACTCTGTTGTTGGTGAGTAAAAAAAGAACATGCTTGTATTTAATACAATTAGATTGCCCTTCCCATTGTTATTAAATCTTGAGTGTGACTTCTGCCCAAAGACCCTCAGGGTGGAAGTACGGCATCTCTTCCTCCAGTCTGCCAAGGAGCATGGAGTTTCCACCTCCAAGTTGAAGGATATCCAAATTGAAAGATGTTTGAGCAAGAATTGCTCAAAATTCCTAAGAAATATAACACAGTGCCGTGTAGTCCTCTGTTTCAATAGAAGTGAGCAGGGATCAACTGCATTGTCAGTCAGTTCCAGAAAAGAAGTCCCCAAGTGAACTAAAGCCAAAGTTCCATTTTATGAAGATGAAGTATAAAGAAGACAGGAGTAGCAAGAAAGCATTGTGGTAGAGATCCCACACTGGCCCAAGGGGTCTGAGGGACAGATGAAGTGTGTGTGTGTGTGTGTGTGTGTGTGTGTGTGTGTGTGTACTGTGTGGGGTGGGGATCAAAGGTGCATTTACATATTTGCTAACAACTAATTTCTCTCAGTTAATAACCAGCTTACTGTTTAAACCAGCACAGCACAGCAGTGAGTTCCTAAGAAGCCATTGCCCAGTCTTTCCTAATAGTTCATATTTACTCATTAATAGTTCCCTCTACAAAAACAGAAATGAAACCAAGAATTGAGCATTTTTATTTGTGATACAAAATAAAATTACTCTGCCAAGTATCTGAGGCAAGTGGTGACAGTAAATCAAACTGGAATTCACAGGAGTGAATTTCCTGAATAGTCTGGGATGGCAGCCACCCATTGCTTTCAGCCCCCGGTAGCATTTGGCTTCAAACCTTCTGCCTCCTCTAAGCAAAGGGTCTTGTTCCTGGGACTAGTGACTAACAAAGTTACCTCAGATGTCCCTCTACCAGAATGGGTCTTGGATTTCTTCCTTCCCCCAGATAGCTCCTGTAAGGGATTGGGGTCCCTATAGGGCATACCCGTATTCCTATATGGTATGGCAGCCAGGCTATCGAGCCATACTCAGTATCTGAAGTGGTCATGCACCCTTCCAGACAGGCTGTCACTACCCTAACAAAAAGCTCAGGATATGCTCTCCTTGCTTTGTAATTACATAGATCACCCGAGAAGAGGTGTCAATTCCAAGCTTCTGACAGAGCTGAGGATGTGACTAAAAGCCATTCACCTGGTTACCCTAGGAGACAGAATGCTAATGAATTCCCCCCTCAGTTTATGTTTTGATATATAACGCTGTCTGGAGAATAAATAAGAGGAATTCTTCTGCATGTGAACTCAGGACTTCATGAGGGACCACTGAGAATCTCCCTTCCTCCCGATAAAGCCATATGAGTGTCTTTATTCTCGTGCCTCCATGCTGATCAAGAGAGAGATAGTTTATGTTGAGATCTGGTCCAGAGAAAATAATTTCAGGTCCAGGCTAACACTGGTCCCCGACACGATAGAAGAGGGTGGCATTTTGGAAGGAAGCAGCTTTGCAGTGATGATGGAATCCGTAATGTCATAACCCCTTTCCCACAGAGAGGTGCTTTTGTCTTCTCAGAACTAGTCCTGTGGTGGCTCTGACTTGCAAACAGTATCCTTTCTTCCCTTTGTTTTCTTTATTTATTTTTGAGACAGAGCCTTCTATGTAGCCCTGACTGGCCTGGTACTTACTATAGGGCCTGGAGCAGCTTCAAACGCTTGTCTCAGAGCTGGGTGGCTGGGACTACAGGTGTGCAGGATTCAAAGCTGCCTTGTAATAACTAAACCACCAGACTTGTATCAGGCCCTTGGAATGTGTTTATTAGGGGATCTCTTTTCACTAGAGAACAATGCTGGGAAGACGGAAGGGGCAGTTGAGGGCACAGATGTCCCATTTTACTTGGATCCATGGGTCCCATGTTATGAAATTCCAAAGCCTCTCAGATGCTATCCCTGATTACTGACTGATTAAAATCCTTAACATGGGAGTAGGGAAGACGGCTCTGTCCCTTGTCTGAGGTGGGTGGCCCTGGTGTCCAGGACTGACCAGCTCAACTACCACCCAGACCCATAGTCGGGCCTAGGGTTGGCCCACTCTCAACATCTATGCCATCTAGGACCTGCTGGAGCTCATGATGGGTGGGGTCCTGTGGAATGATAGCTGCAGGATCTCTGTGACTCTCCGAGGCGGTGGGATATCCTAGAGGAGTTTCGTTGAGGGCCCAGTGAGGATTGGTGTGTGTACCAGAAACCGGAGGCCTTGAACCAGACCAGTGGCTCATTGCAATGAACATTTGCAAGTAAAGCTGACTGTGGGACACACTGAAGCTTCTAATGCCCAATGCCATCAGAAGAATGAAGAGGTGATGGAAAGGTGGCCAAGATGGAAGAGCGAAGAGGCTTTTTGTTGTTATTTTGTTTTTGTTTTTCTTTCTTTGTTTGTTTGTTTTTAATTTTTTAAAATTTTTATTGGGGGGCACTGTAGGGGGAGAGGAAGACATGGAGGTACTGGGAGGTAAGCGGAATGAAGAAAGGAAGAAAGGGAGGGAGGGAGGGAGGGAGGGAGGGAGGGAGGGAGGAAGGAAGGAAGGAAGGAAGGAAGGAAGGAAGGAAGGAAGGAAGGAAGAAAGAAAGGAAGGGGGAAGGACCTTAAGTGCACTTGGGCTGAGCCCACACACATTTGTCTTCCTTTAATGGAATTTCAACTGTTCCTCCTGTTTTGTTCAGTGTTTGTTGTTTCTGTTTGCTTGCTTGCTTGTTTGTTTGTTTGAGACAGGGTCTTGTGTGTAGATGCCCAAAAATGTGAGCCTATTTCCGTGTAGACCGGTCAGAGAATTGGAACTTACCTCTATTCCTTCAAGGTTATTGTGTTTCCACCTCAAACAACGGTCCCATTAGACTACAGAGTTCTTACTCTCAAGGTTATTGTCAGCAGGTGTGGCTAATATTCAGCCCTTGTATTTCAAGAATAGAGAAGTAGATCTGTTTCTACCTCAAACAAAAGTCTAAGGATTCTTTATGGAGACAACATTGGATTCCACCCTGGGAGTGGTTTGCTACAGATTGTTTTGTTCTAGGGGGTGTGAGCAGACTTGTTCTAGCAACAGAATGTTTAACTATGAATGAAGCCAGAGACTTCCAATTGGTACGCTCATTTCCTTGAGTCATGTTAATGCAGTTTTTTGTCTTACTCCTACCTTTTGGGGTCGGGGTATTTAAAGCAAATGGAAATTAAACACGGGTGAATTTCAGTACTCACTGGAATTCCCTCCCAAAACTATCCTATGTTTCTCCGGTTCATTACTTTTGTTCGCATCTTCATATCCTACCCTGGCTCTAAATCTACCCTGGCAAGAGATATTTTTGTCCAGGCTGGTCCCCAACACTTATGAAGCCCATGCAGGTCTTTAACTATGTTGCTAATGATGACCTTGATCTCCTGATCCTCCAACATCCATCCACCTTCCCCCAGTTCAGGAGTTATAGCGGGACCCTGACATCCCCACTATCTTAGAATCTTTATCTCTTTCATGGTGTGGTTCAAAGACACAGGGCTGTAGGCATACTCACACAGTTTACATCCTGGATACCAGCCGTCAGCCATAGCACAAATGCTAACATACAGTAGAAGTGGCACAGAACTCGGGGTTCTAAGAGCCTTCTTTCTGCACACCTAGAATTCCCCTCTCCAATAGAGACTTTTCTTCTACCACGGGTCCACTACTTGTTCATAAATATTCCTAGCTTTTGGCAGAGCCCGAGCATCTTGACAGCATCCGCAGCAGAAATCTTTATGGCTCCCCTTTGTTTCAATGCACTCTTCACTGGGTTTTAGATCTCCCATTTCCCCCCAAACGAGGCACTCCGGACACTCATCCTCCTATCCTTTCCTTCTGATTCCCCAGGAAGACACTTCTTACAGGTATTGTCCATATATTCAGAGAGGGAAAGCTAATTGTGCAGACAAAAGTGCCCTGAAAGATAGTCAAAGCTAGGAAGTATGCTCTCCCCCATCCCCAACTCGCTTTTCTGGGACAGGAAGTCTGGGGGAAGTTGGGGGAGGCTGGGAGGGCTGGTGGGGAGGGGGGAGGGTTGAGAGGCATTCCTAAGCTGCACAGTAGAGCTGTAGAAAAATGGAAAAGGCAGCAAACCCCCCTCCTGCATCCATCCCACCAATCACAAACCTTGGCAGGCAAGATGGTGAAGCGGTTCTATGGGGACAGTGGTAGTGACAGGTATGAACTTGGCCTTCCAGGTTTGTTAATCTTCCTTATTGAATCCCCAGCTCAGCTAAGGAGCCAGGATGGGCACAGGACACTGCTGGACTAGAGGAGGAGCCGCCTGAGATGACAGAAAGCCTGCTGGTTCTGTTTGCAGAGCAGGGCCTGGGAGGGTGGTCTGAGGATTAGTGTTCTATGACTGATGCTTTTCTTTTCTGTCTGGTGTCTTTTATCACCTCAGTATGCCTGGGAGGTTTCCTGAGGGTGGAGCTCACATCTACTGTGGCTAGGTTGCTGGTATTTATCAAAGGGATTCCTAGGCTTCAGATGATCACGTAGTTAATCCTCTCTTGTGGGCTTTGGAACAAGACAGACCTGGTTCCAAAGGCTGCCAGGCCACTGTGAGCATGAGGCTTAAGCTCTCTAAACTTCATTGAAATAATAATAATAATAATAATAATAATAATAATAATAATACATACCTGAGCCTATAATAAATACTTCAGAAATGCCATTTTAGATTACTACCACTGTTTAGGTGTGGACAGCTGCAAACATCTGTGACAAATACCAGGTTTTAAAGAAACTGGAGTGGGGTCGTTCATTAGCAGAGAAAGAATTGGAACAGTCTTGAGACAGTGGCCAGTACCCTCGCTCCAAGTCTTTCTTCACCCAACAAAAAGTGCCACTGTGCCCTGTCGCTTAGCCCAGTCACCGCTGGGAAGAAGAACACACCTTTCTGGTTCCAACGTGCAACACCTGGCCTGGCAGTCTGACAAACATACCGAGAGTCACAACCGCACGGAGGAGCATTTCTGTCTGGTTTGCGCTTTCTTTTCTAGGAATCCTGCCAAGGGGACCCAGAAGGGAAAACTCCAAGACAGAAAAACCATCTCGGCCTCTCGCGGCAGAACGCAAGCCCCTCTGTCCACGTGATGCAACGCTCTTTCCCTCCCAGAGAAAAAGGCAGACACGAGGATCCTGTGTTGGTTTCTTGGGGTGAACTAATCTCAAGCCAGCTAAACAACACCTAAGAAAACCTGGAGGCTCGTGGGGAAAGACGGCAAATAAACTCGGAGCAATTTCTAAACTAAAATGCTCCTTGGAGCTCCGAAATAAAGGAGAAATGGAGTGGAGGTGTGTGTGTGTGTGTGTGTGTGTGTGTGTGTGTATAGGGTGGATTTAATTTTCCCTGAAATTGACCTTCGAGCGAGTGTGTGTGTGTGTGTGTGTGTGTGTGTGTGTGTGTAGGGTGGATTTAATTCTCTCTGAAATTGACCTTGTTCCTGTAACTCAGAAGCTTCAGGACCCTGGGATCTGAAATTTCTGTGCATCGCACTCAGCCTGAAGCTTGGCCATGGGGAACCCTGCTGCTTTTCCTCGCAATCCCCTCCGGGATCCTGCCGAGGGCTCTCTCAGAAGTTCTCGTCATGTGAGCAGCCCTGACTTCAAAGCCGGCCTCAGGCCTGTGGTCCTGGGTGTCCGGGTGGTTTTTAGGGTTTTCTTTCTCTCTAATTTCCCTTCTTTTTTCACAGCTATTTTCTTCAGAAAAGAGGCTATAAAAAAAAAAGAACCTATTGCATTTCCAGTTCCCATCACCGCGATTTCCACATGGATGTGACGTGGAGGAGGCCAGCTTCCGAAATGCCCAGGTGACTCACGCGGGGACACCCCGGGGCGGGACCCAGGAGTTTCTTCGGGCGGGGCGGGGACAGCCTCGAGCGCCCTCTGCCGGCCGGCCGCGCGCCACGCGGGCGTCACGTGACTGGAAAGTCCCTCGGAAATCCCCTGTGGCTGGAGACACACATACAACTGAAAGGCAAAAAAAGGGAACTGCCCAGTCTGCTGCCTTCGCGCCGGAGGAGTGCCACGGGCTTTGAGGCCGCGGGGGCGGAGCGGCGAGTCAGGCCGCCGACAGACGTGCACACCCCCGGCCAGACAGCGAGCCCGACCGGGCGTCCATGGGGCTCCGCCTCGGCCCGACCCCCAGCGGGACCCGGATCGCGACCCTCAGCTGCTGCGGCGAGCGCAGTGATTGACCGCGGGCCACTCGGGCTCCGGGGCACCGTGCGACTCCAAGAGGTGAGCGGCGTTCGGGCTGCGGGGTGCACGGCCAGCAGGATGCGGGGTGCACGGCCAGCGGGGTGCATCGCCAGCCCGGTGTGGGTCTGCCTGGCTCCGGCTTTGCACGGCTCCTGGGACGAGGGTATGGTTGACCAGAGCTGAGGTCCCGGTGCCAGGTGTTAGTTGGGTGACAGCCCTGAGTTTCTCCTACCGACCTGTAAGCTGTTCCTTTCCGGTCCTGCAGGGTGACATAAGGTGCACTTGGCTGATGAATAGTCATCCCTCGGGTCCCTAGGTCGTGCGGTCGTGGGTGATTTGCTTCTTCTTTCTCTCTCTCTCTTTTTTTCTTTTTTCTCTTGGGACTCAAGTGCAGCATGCGTATAGGCACGTAGACCTTGCAAAATCGCGCTAGGAGTTTCATCCCATATTGTACATAACCAGCCCAACGGGGGATGGGTTTCTCAGAGGCCATCTAATCCGACTTGGAGGCTTCAGTCATGGAACCTTCCGGGGACAGCTTCCTCAGACTTAGTGATCTGGCGGGGAGGGGGGTGGATGTTGGGGGAATGAGATTGTCGTCCCTAGTTGCAGCAATGTAAGAAGAGTATGCATGCTCTCTGGCTTGCTTGTTGGGGGTCTCCACTTTAGAGGGCACGTTAAACTCCCTTCTGCAGGCCGACCCCACACTCAGACTGCGGTTGTCAGTCCGGCTAGTCCCACATCCTGCCACCTGGCCTCTCAGGAAAGCTGAGGTATTAAGGGCTCTTTTTGGAGCGCGCTTTGTTTTGAGTTCTCCTGGTCTCTGATCTTTCTTTGGAAAGCTAGTCTGGTCAAGTGTCTGGGGGCACCCTTTGGAGCTGAGCATTGTTAATTAGTCTTCTGTACACTGATGTCCCAGATTGTTCAGCAGCCAATCAGATCTCCATTCTCATTGTCTGAGATACTTTTTGGACCTTTGAAATTCTTTGCATGTTTTTTTTGTTTTTTGGAGGGGTACTTCCCAACAATTGCCTGAGGTGTATCTGTTGATAAATAATACATAAGTTTCCACATCGCAAACAAAAAAAAAAAATCTGCTCGGAGTGGAAAAATAAAACCCGGGGAAAGACTTTGATGAGTAAGTTCTGTAGAATCTTATTGATCCTGTGACAAAAATTGGGAAATTTGTCTGTCAAGCAGTGAGGTAACAAATATATTTTTAAAAGTTAAGGGTGGTGCTGTAATTTTTTTTTTTACCCATAAGACATTACAATAATGTCAGGAAAATTTATTCTCTAAATGTGGGGGAAGTCCAAGAACTGGAAACTTGAGCCGCGGTTTAGGTTTGTTTTAAAGAACGTTTTCAGGCCTTGCCAGGCAGTTTATGAATGGGATCGCAGGGGGCTAGCAAATCGTGCCATTTGCATGTCTTGCATATGGTTTAAGGCCCCCCCACCACCACCATTTTTAGATCTGTGCTAAAAGATCTCTAGTGTAAAACAGTCAGAAAAACAGAACGAGATGCAACTCACGGACGGAAAGTCTTTCTACCTCCTTGTCCGGTACTGAGGGCCGCTGTTGGATACTACAAGGAGATAGGAAACAGAAAGATTTGGCTTCTAGGCAGAGCTAAGACTGTGGCTCCTGGGCCCGAGATAGGCCTTGCCTTCATTGCCTTAGCTGCGAACCTAGTGCTGTGTGATATCAAGGCTGGAACTGAAGTCATAGTTTAGCTATAGCATCAAGCACAGGGATTGGCCTGGCATTGCTGGCTGCATGAATGGATGGAAAAATGGATGGACGGATGGATGGATGGAAGGATGGATGGATGGATGGATGATGGGTGGATGGATGGATGGGGGAGTGACATTGTGAAAGAGATCATTGCTGCATTGCCAAGGAGATGTATGCGTGGTATGCATCGTTTTGTCTCATTCCTGTAATGTTTTTGCTTAATTCCAGTTCCAGAGAATAACTGGCATCAGAGAGAGGAAAGGCTTCTATCTAGGCCTTAGATAGCATTTAGATTAAGAATTCCAATGCAAATCCCCAGTAGCAGCCTCTCCCTTTCAAGCAGGGCAAAAGAATTCAGATCACTTTATTAGGTTTAAGAGACCCTGGATCCACCCGGGGAGTGGCTTCTCTAATCCCTAAATTTCTTCTTCTTCTTCCTCAGTCATGACACCTTTTTACCTGGTGAGCTTGCCTTGGTCGAGAGCATGATGCCAGAGTGGAATTAAGCCTCACCATGAGGTTTCTTAGGTGTTCTACATTGTTGTCTTCTAGGAAATCAGATGTGTGGCCACATGCCCTATAAAGGGTCCATGGGGACAGTGAGGCAGAACTGGCTCAGCATCACTCCACCCTGGAGGATGTCCCTGTGCACCACTGCTCATCCTTGCACAGCTGGCTTGGGTGGCCGTGTGGCTACTCCTTTTTGTCCTGAGCAGTACTCTGGCCCAGATATTTTCCCGATTTGCTTCCAAATTTCATTTCCTCCGCCTTTGACTGTGCTTGATCTTCTAGCGTGAAGGAAGCGGAGGCGGTGTCTTTAAGCATTGGTACCTGGATCTCAGCAATAAGAGTTGGCTGTCAGTTTAGTTGCAATCACAGAGCTCCCTGGTGTCCGTTGTTGTTTTCCTGGGAGGTGGGGTGTACCTCATTGTTATTTTGCTCTTTTGTTGTGAAGTTCTGTGGCAGGATTCTGAGGTAGAGTTGACATTTGTTTGCTCTTAAGATTGCAAGGCATCTTGCCAGAAATAGACTGATTTTGTGGTTGGTTATAAAACAGTCTGGTGTTGACTCTTTATAAATATCATAAACTCTCTAAAACAAGTGTTTAATACTTTTCTTTGTGGGCAGTACCATAGAGGAAATACCAGGCAGCAGCTAGATGCCACCTGGGATTTCCATCAAACATTTGCTGCCTTCGCAGCATCAAGAAGGGGATGTTTGAGTGACCTGGATCTAGACTCCTCAAGAGCAAGCACTGAGTGGTGGTGGTCAGTCAAGACTGAGGACTCCTATAAGCCCTGAACTGACCTTCAGAGGTCCTGGGTGACATCGGAGGGATCTGAGGTTGGCTTTGCGGAGCAGGACCTGTCACTGACAGACAGACTTGGCTACCTGACAAACTTTACTGAAAGCATGGGTTATTCCCCTCCTCCTCAGTACCCACGCTCCGCCTTCCTTCTCTTGTTTAGACTAATCTTTAAAAGTGGTGTAGCCTACAACAGTCCAGTGTGAGTTAATCTGCAGGGCCAGCTAGTATCCTGGGAGCTGAGGTGACTAAGAGAGTAATGACAAGATCAAACACTGGGGTTTCTTGCCGACAGGTATATGGGAACAGTGTTAAAGGCAGGCTAACGGAAT